CAAAATGAATCAGCATAAGACTTTAAATATCATTCTAAGAAATAACCAATCATTATTTCTTTTATAAAATTATTTTTCAAAAAGTTTCTTTTTTCCTTTTACAGACCAATCCCGGTTCCCCCTGCCTCCCCTTCTCTTTCACCCCCCACCTCTCCCCATCCCACCCCCCATCTACTCCTCAGAGAGGGTAAGGCCTCCCTTGAGAAGTCAACAAAGTCTGGCATACTAAGTTGAGGCAGGACCAGTCCCCTCTCCCTGTGTCAAGGCTGAGCAAGGAATCATACCCTAGGGAATGTGCTCCAAAAAGTCATTTCATGTACCCTGGATAAGTCCTGGTCCCACTGTCAGGGGCTCCCCAAACAAGGAACATCATGAAAAAAAAAAAAAGCTTTGAAAAGTTCTTATCATGACATTTCAGCTATTGTTTATAACAAGATATATCATTTGAGCTGGGTAGTGGTGGCACAAGCCTTTAATCCCAGCACTCGGGAGGCAGAGGCAGGCAGATCTCTTGAGTTCAAGGCCAGCCTGGGCTGCAGAGTGAATTCCAGGAAAGGTGCCAAAGCTACACAAAAAAACTATGTCTCAAAAAACTGAAAAAAAAAAGATATATCATTTGAAATTATCTTACTAAAATATCAGAATCTAACCAGTAAAATTTTTAATATTTTGTATATATTTAATTAAAATAAAACTTGTATCCTTTTGCTTTGTTTTTAAAAATACATTAAAATATAGTTTTATATATTTTTGAGGTTTTATTTCCTTTTACTTCATGTATAGATGAGTGATTGTCTGAATATGTGTGTGTGCAGTGTCTGCAGAGGCTGGAGGAGGGTGTCAAATCCCCTAGGAAATGGAGTCAAATGGAGACAGTTGTGAGCTGCCAAATGGGTGCTGTGGATTGAACACAGGTCTTCTGCAAGAGCAGCCAGTGCCCCTAACTTCTGAGCCATCCCTGCAGATCCAAAAGTCACACCCTTAACAGAGAAATTTTACTTCAATTGATCATAAAAAAAAATATGTTGATTAAACATTAGCTAATTTGGAAACTGTTTAAACATAAACATTTTCATATATTTCAAAAATATTTTTATTATTTAAGGCAAAATCATCCTCAAGTAATTTCACTTAGCTATAAAAAAGATTTTAAAGAGTGAAGGGAAAATCTCTGAAAAGGAAATAATTGAGTGTTGCTGGAGGGCTTCTCTCCAGGCTCCACCAAGCCCCGCAGTCCCACAATCCACGTATAAAATAATCATTCAGACGCTTATATTAGTTATAAACTGTATGGCCGTGGCAAGCTTCTTGTTAACTGTTCTTATATCTTAAATTAACCCATTTCTATAAATCTATACCTTGCCACGTGGCTGGTGGCTTACTGGCGTCTTTACATGCTGCTTGTCCTGGTGGTGGCTGCAGTGTCTCTCCCTCCTTCTTCCTGTTTCCCCAATTCTCCTCTCTCCTTGCCCGCCTACACTTCCTGTCTGGTCACTGGCCATCAGTGTTTTATTTATATAGAACGATATCCACAGCAATTGAGACTGGAGAGATTGATCAGCAGTAAAGAATGGTTTTTGCTATTGCAGAGGAACAGAGTTCAATTCCCAGCACCCATGTTCATTAACCCCGAGTTGGCTGGAACTCACTCTCCAGGGATCCTACTCTCTATTCCAGCCTCCATAAGTACCTGCATTCACATATACTCATAAACACACACACACACACACACACACACACACACACACACACACACACACTCACATGCATACACAATTATATAGTGTTAACATGTAGCTCGTGTGTTACATAGTCAATATCAAATATATAATATCAATAGTGATATAAAAGATCAACAAAATTCCTAAAAGTAAGTGAACACGAAGTCCATCATTGAATTTTCTAGGATAAATCACACAAATGAAATTTATTTCCCACTCATGTAGCAGTGGCTTCTTCTAGACAGAAAGCTTTCACTTTTAATTAGCATACCTACCTACCACAGGACCTGTATGTTGTGGTGGTAATCTAATTGTACTGAAATATTATTTTAATTGTATGTTAATAAATAAAGTTGTTTGGGGGTCAGAGCTATTAGAGCCATAGCAAGAGTGTGGCGGTGGTGGCACACGCCTTTAATCCCATAGATCTCTGTGTGTTCAGGGATACAGCCAGCATTGGAGACATATGCCTTTAAGACCTAGGGGGCTGTACATTCAGACAGTGACGAGGCAGTCATGTGTTTGGGTTTACAACCAATGAGAAGGCAGAACAACATACTATAAAAAAAAAAAAAAAAATGAACAGACAGGAAGTAGGTCTCTTTCGGGAAGCTGGGACACCGCAGGCGGAAGGGTGAGATTTTAGCTCTGAGCTCTGACCTCTCGGCTTTCTCTTTTACATTGTTTCTGTGTTTCTTATTTAATAAGATGGTTAGTTACATCTATAGTATGTCATGTCCTACTATACAGATAGAACATGGCATTCACCAGAAGAAAGAAATTGTGCAATTGTCAAGTTTAATACAGCAAGCATTACTGTCTACCTTACAGAGTAGGTTAGTATGGAACACATTAATTTCTAGACAGTAGATGTTTGACCAGTAGGTCAGAGATCTGTTAAGAGTTAAGACTGGAAGATAAAAAACAAACGAAAAAAATAAAACATTGTAAAAATGTCTGAGGGAAATGTATTTGGCTAGATCTCTCAGAGATTTTAGCCTCTCATGTGCATACCCATCAGAGTACAATTAACAAAGATAAGTCACTGTCCAGCAACATGAATCCATGTAGAAGAATGAAATTAGATCCATAGCTATCACCTTGCACAAAATCTAAGGCCAAATGGCTCAAAGAACTCAATATGAAACCTGAAACACTGAACTGCTAGAAGACACAGGTAGTACCCCTTCAAGATATCTGTGTAGGAAAGGACTTTATGAACAGGACTCCATTTGCCCAGAAATTAAAGACATCAACCTGGAAATGGAACTTAATAAAACTAAAAATTTTCTGCACAGCTAAAGAATTAAGCCAGCAAAGAAGAGACTCATAGAGTTGGAGAGAATCTTTTCCATATATACATCTGATAGGGGATTAATATCCAGAATATTAAAACAAATAGTGAAGCAAATAAAAGACACAGTTACAAATCAGGCAATGCATTTGAATAGAGAATTCCCAAAATAAATTAAAATGCACAGAACATCTTATAAAACATTCATCATTGTAAGAAATTAGAGCAATGAAAATTAAAACTACTTTGAGATTTCATCTCACCCCAGTCAGAATGTCAAGGATCAACACACAACCTATCACACATGCCCTAGAGGATATGTGGAAAGAGGAACTTCCATTCACTGTTGGCAGAATTGTAAACTGGTACAGCCAGTCTGGAAATCAATGTTGAGATTTCTCCAAAAGCTAAATTAAATATACCACATAAGCCAGCTGTACCACTCCTTAGCATATGGTTCAAGGAACTTGACTTCCAACTTAACAGATATTTGCTCAGACATGTTCATTGACTCTCTATTCATAACACTTAGGAAATTGAAACAACCTGAATTTCCTTTAACTGATGAATACATAAAGAAAATGTAGCATATATACATGATGGAATAGTATGCAACTATAAAGAAAATGAGACTGTGAAATTTATAGGTAAATATATTGAAATAGAAAAGTTTAGTAAATGATATAAGGTCAGATTTTTAAGAAACAGTAATATCTCAAGGTATCCTTCCTAATATGTTAAATTGTGGCTTATGCTGAGTGAGCTAATGTCTATAGATTCTCTTCTTTTGGTCACCTTGTTCCATTCCAGCTTACCATCCTCTACCCAAAAGCTTCTTCTGTTATGGTCCCCAAGCTCCTGTTCTCACACAGTAACCAAGTATGAGTACATCATTGCCTATAGTTTGAATTTTATTTATCTGAGAACCAATCATAATGATCAACATTTTGTCAGACGCTAGACAAACAGCTTCAGAGTGGTAGAAAAGTATAATAGTGAGAGTCTACTATGGTTTAGAAGGTCCACCATTGTCTTAGAAGAAAATGTTAACCCATGAGATTTGATAAAGTTTGCATCTTATACAAAAAAAATCAGCCTTCACAGTAGCAAGGCCTTCAAAGTTGTAAATTTATCAATTGTACTGGTTAGTTATTGTCAAGATGGCACAATCTGGGAAGAGAACATCTCTATCACAGAATTGCCTACCACATTGGCCTGATTGCTAATTGGTGTAGGAGAGCCCAAACCACTGTCAAAAGCACAATGAGATGAGCACAAGTGCAATCAGATGAGCCTGGATATATCATGAAGGTGGTTAAGTAAGCCGCAGGGAGCGAGCCAGTGAGCAGCATTCATCTGTGGATTCTGCTTCAAGCTCCTGCTCTGGCTTCTTTCCATGAGAGGATAAAAACTATAAAAAAATAAATAAATAAATAAATGCATTCTTCCTGAAGTTGCTTATGGTCACAGTTTTTATTAAAACAATAAAAAACAAACTGGATAACCTTTATTCCCCTAAATAAATTAAACTAGATAACATTTTGTTTCTAAAGTATCTTAATGCTATCCATGAATTCTTTGTGAGCAATGTCTTCTGTGACTGCAGAGGCGGATCTTCACTGTATACCTGTCAGGTTTGGGGTCACCTAGGAGACACACAATTGTTCAAGTCTGTGAGGCTGGTTCCCAGGAGGCCTCACTGAGAAGGGAAGACCTGCCCTGGATGCTTGGTTTCCCAGGACCATTAAAAAGAAAATTAAGGAGAAAGTCAGGTGAGCATGAGCATTTATCTCTCTCAGCTGCTTGATTGGTCATGCAGTGTGACCAGGTGCTTCACACTCCTGCCATCAGGACTCCCCTGGATGATGAACTGTATCCCTTCAAACTGAAAGCCAGCAAAAAAAAAAACAAAAAAACCTTTCCTGCATTACCTTCAATTTGCTATATTTTTTTCATATTTTACATCTATAAGATAGTAAGTAATTCATACAACAACTTTTTCATTATTGCATCAACTGTAAAATATTTATTCGTGGATAGGTAATTTAACATATCCAACAATAAAACATGTTTTTAAGCAAAAATCGGTTAAATATCATGAAGTCACTTTACAATTGATAACTTATGCCCTACAATGCATTAGCTGTATGAATATCTGTATGTTTTACTCAAAACAGTGACAGAATATAAAAGTGAACCACACATTAAAACAGTACTTTAATAGAACAACATGTGCAGAGATTACTCAGCAAGGCATGAAGGACAGCTCTCCAATGATACACCCAAGTGTGTATTTGCTTTTACAAGAAGTGAAAGTTTATGTGAAAAACAATGTGAACCAGATATAACCAAAAAGATAAGTTACATATTTTAAAATTCAACCATAACTCATTTTCATTTATTCATATATCCCCAAAAAATCTTTGAGTTGTATAAATCATAAGTTTTTCATCTAAGTGTTTGAAACTCTCTGATGGACCAAGTCCCCTAGATTACATGTCTACTAAACAGATTTCCTTCTCTTTCCAAATACGTTATTGATCAATTTGGCCATTGATTTAGACCCACTGGGTCTCCTCTTCTCCTTGTGTTTGAAGATCATCAGAATGTCCTTGATGAGTCTGAGAAACATCACCTCCACCTCCAGGTACTGCTCTGCTGCAGACAGCTCACAGAATTGGCAGCGGAAATCTATCGCTAGCTTTTGTCCTTCATCCCAGCCAACCTGTCGCGTGTGGCAGAGGTCTTGCTTGTTGCCAACTAAAACCACAGCTGGTTCCACCATCCTGAAACACAATGAGTAACTTTTTCAAGATGGTTTCAGTGACTCTAAGAAGTAATGTAAGTTTATATCCAAAGAACAGAGTCAAAAGTAAATCCTAGTAGGTATTATTTCCTTGGCCATGGCCATGTATGTGTTTAGAGACACATATCCCTACTTCTATAGAATCATTTTCTACAGAATGGAATAAATCACACAAACAAGGCTCTCAAAGTTTAGAGTTTGGCATAGCTTGCAAGTTTTCTTTCTTTCAGGATAGGTATAGTAACCAGGGATGGCTGTAATCTTTCCCATTTTGTCTTTTTATGTGCTAAGCAAAATAGGTAAATAGTCCCCACCACAGAACCATAAGATTCTACCTGATCCAAAGTCCAGAAACATAAAGACATATGACATAGACTGGTAAATTGAAGCCACAAGCCAGCATAAGTCCATCATACCTTAAACTTTTTCTACTGGGTACATTGTCACATCTATGTGAAAGTAACTAACTAATTCAGTTGTCATTTGCAGATGCTATGTTAAATCCAGGTAGTGATTTACAGTAATAAGATTGGCAGCTTGAAGCCCTACTCAATTATACCATCATCCTAGACTTAATGGGCAACACTGATACGAACTCGTGTAACTCCTCACATTGGCATTTGAATGAAAATGAACACTTTAAATGAGAAATGCTGAAATAACAAAAATAAAGGAAATTAAACTAAGAACTTCAAACACCAAAGTGTTTCATTAATAGAGCAAAAGCTCTCTAAATACAGTCACCTTCCTTCACTGTTCTGTGTGCCAAGACTGAAGTGGGTAGCCTTTCCAGCTTTGACCTAGAAATATCACCCCCTTTGAGGCTTCAGTAACTGTCACACCCACAAAGCAGAGCTGAGAGAGGACCCCTGAAGACCGGAGATCTGGATGGGGGAGCTCTCTTGGTTCCTGGACAGTGGACACTGGAGGTAGACCAAGCAGAGTTCTCCAGAGAACATTGCTGGACTGAGCTACACCTTTCCCAGATCCTGTAACCTATCCCTTCACTTGTAAGTTACCCCACAAAATAAACCTCCCTTTTAACTAAGTGGAGTTGCATTAATATTATAACCAAGACAGTTAACAGTGGACTGTTGACCATGTTTTTATCTCAGGGGGGAGAGTGGAGAAAAATGTATCTCTACCCTTGCCATGTGTAGATGGTTGACTATTCAATCTGTTTTTGCTGTGACATTCTGAGCAACCAGTAATGAGGAATTGGATTTCACAAGATACCAAACAAAATAAATCTGGATTTATTTAGAATCCTTAACATTTTCGTGAGAATGAAAAGGAAAGGTGGATGCGTGAAGTACCCACTGTACAGAGGACCATTATTTTGCTAGTGAGTGTCATGTTAACAATAGAAGCTGTCTTGTAAAATGGCCATTTACTCGGGGCAAGTAACTGTTTATGTCAGCCAGGATATAAAGCATTCTCATCTGATTCCTTTTACTACGTGTGTAACTCCTGTGGAATGGGAAGGTGAATTGTTCAGGGCTGTTAAATTTTGTAATTGGAAGTCTGTATTAAATTCTTCCTAATGATGCTCAGGGCACGATGATGATTTACTAAAATGGAAAGGAGATGGGAATGAAATGCCTTACCTTTTACAATGAGTCGTCGGTGGCTCCCGAATTCTGTAGATAAGGGCTTTTGCAAAAGCAAAGGAAGGCCTGTCACTGATGTCATACACAATCACAAACCCATCTGCCCAGTGCAGCTCACTTGTGAGGGAGCATTTTGCTTTCTGTGGCTGAAAATGAACCAAGCACATTCAAGTGTAGTTATCTCCCAGCAGCGTACGATGCTTCAGTTAATTATTAGTTATCCATTTCACCTGGGCAGACTTTAGTAAGGCCAAAGAACAATAATTTCTAAGGTCTGCTTTCACTGTTCTTCTGTTTCTTTCTTATCATTGTCTTAAACTAAAAAATAACCTATAATAGTTATTTTAATCTCACTTTACAACTTTCTCTAAAAAACATTTACTTTTTTCTAAAAATTTGATATGCCTTTTAAATTAATACTCACATTTGTCTGGAAAAAATATGACATCTCTGTTAAGTAATGGACTATCTACTTTTACTGTGGTGTGCCCGTGTATAATTGGATGTGCGCATGCATGTTCATGTGTGAGTGTCATCACATCCTTAGCATGGAAAACATGTAGAGGTCGGACAACAACCCCAGTGTTGGCTCTTCCTTCCTCCTTGTTTGAGACAGAGCTTTTGTTATGGACAACAGGCTGCTCTGCACACAAACTTCCTGTCTCCTTCCATCATAACATAGGACCGCTGGACTTATACAAGTCTGTTACAGTGCCTAGCTCTACTTGGATTCTAGAAAGCCAAATTCATGTCCTAAGGATGGCAGGGGAGTACATTATCCACTGAAACATCCCCCCAACCTAAAATATCTGTTCATTGGCAATAGTAGATTCAAACCCATGAAAGAGAAAAATTTATAAAGTTTATCTAAAAGTGTTTATAGGATAATTTAGGAGAAAATACCTAAAACAAAGCAATAACTTGTTCTGAAATCTTAGAAAACTGACCATTCTTCTCATTTTTATGATGAGAAGGTATTTTGAGAGATTATAATGGGAAGATTATTTTGATATTTTAGTGTATTGATTAGCTAAAGAAATTTATATTCAAAATTTGTCTTACTCATGCTCTACTGAAAACTGGTTACAAATGTAGAAAATTTAATGAAAATATAAACTGAACTGACAAGCTATTCTGCCTTAATTTCTGACAGCAACACTGTGAGCTCACAGGAATACATATGACTGCAGCTATTTTAAAGACTGAATGGGCTGGAGAGATGGCTCAACAGATAGGAGCACTTACTGCTCATGCAGAGAGTTCAAGTTCAGTTTCTAACACCACATGGACTCTCACATCCATCTGTAATTCCAGTTCCAGGTTATGTACGTGTTGTTGTTTGGTTTTGCTCTTTTTGGGTGGCTGACACCCAGCTCTCAAATAAATCACACACAGAAGCTGATTCTTAATTATGAATGCTCAACCTTAGCTTGGCTTATTTCTAGCCAGCTTTCCTTAGCTTAAAATATCTCATTTATCTTTTGCCTCTGGGCTTTTCCCATTCTCTGACTTCTGTAAATCTTACTCTTACTCCATGGCTTGATGTGTAGCTGGGTAGCTAGCCCCTGATGTCCTCCTCCTTCTCTGGCTCCTTCTTTCCTCTCTTTTCTCTCTCTTATTCCTCCTTTTTCTATATATTCTCTCTGCCTGCCAGCCCCACCTATCCTTTCTCCAGCCTTGCTATTGGCCAGTTCTTTATTAGACCATCAGGTGTTTTACACAGACACAGTAGCACAGCTTCACAGAGTTAAACAAATGCAACATAAACAAAAGTAACACACCTTAAAATAATATTCTACAACGTATATGTCTTCTTGTCTTTCTGGGCACTTCATGCCCATGGTACACATACAGATAAATCACCCACAAGCAAAACACTCATACATAAAACAAAATCTAAGAGATTTTTGTTAAGACTATTTCAGGGTTCACTTTTACTCTTCATTAAAGATATTTTTCCATGCTAACTTTTAATCCAAATTTATAAAATATCCTGATAATACAGTTTACACTAAAAGAAACGCCAACATTTTAACAATTAAAATTGAGAAGAAATTTTATTTTAGTGTTGGCATTATTTTATATATTTGTACCCACTCATATTTAAGTTACTTATTTAAATTAATTATTAATTAAATTAAATTATGCTTGAAAATAAAATAAAACCAAGGAGTGTTCTGTTTGACTTACTTGAGAACATGGGTCATATATTTCCAGATTCAGTGGTTTCCCTTCCAAACACAAGTGCTTATTATAGACAGATTCTGAAAAAAATGCATGTACTCATTGTCAGTATGGGAAAACTTCAGAATAAACACTCATTTTTAACTAATCTTGGTCTGCCAAATCCAACAAGTCAGATTTTCAGGCTATTTTTACTGAAGACTTATTAGTGTGTGTGTGTGTGTGTGTGTGTGTGTGTGTGTGTGTGTGTGTGTGT